CATTGAAATAATTCAAAACTAAAGTAACGAGCCAATTTTTCAAACATGTAAGGAGTAGAAGTAAAAAGTAGCCATAAAAATAAGTAGTAAAGTAAAGTAAAAATATCAGAAAAATCTACTTGAGTACAGTAACAAAGTATTTGTACTTCGTAACTTCCCATCTCTGATTATGACAGGAAAAATAAATCATTTAATATTCATCGACTAACATTTACAAATTCAAACACGTATGCAAGCCTTTTTATTGGTAGTTATCTTACCCCATACATGATAAAGACAGTCAGCTTTACACAGACTGGCTGCCAGTGGAGGATGTACTGGTCATGTTGAGAAGGCTTTGCATTTAGTAATGAGCAGATTGGCTCATTGTGGTACGTTTCAAGTTTGCTGTCAATTAAACTAGAATTCCAAATAATTGTAGTTTTACTTAAACTACCGTAAAACAATATGGAGGCTCATAAACTATTCAGTTTAATCATAATCTATCTAAAGTAGCTTAAAGGAGGGATTTTGTCTTTTTTTCTCTCTTGCATAAATAGAAGGAAGGAGATGACTGTGTTTTTATCAGGATTGAGATTTTAAAACCTAAACAATTATTGAAATAATAGGAACTAATAGAGCAGATAATCAGTGTAATCCAGAAGTAAATTTGTATCTGATCCAATTAATGTCTCCTCTCTAATGTCTGCTGATTAGGAGCTCCGGAAACACAAACAAACATATAGAAAACCCTCCAAGCTGACATTTGTATTCAGCCACCATTAACTATTGTTTTAAATGTAACGATCACATTCGCATACAAGGCTTGAAACACTCATTATGAATCAACCCTTAATCAATTTCTTCTAATTCACAGAAATAATGTGTAGCTTTAAAACGTTTTCACAGGTTTCAGATAATGATGGCTGAAACTGTCGTCCACAGAGCGCAGGGTGTGTAGTTAACATGGAAACCATGTTTTCACAAACTGAGATCTGTCCTCATTGTGCTTTATCTCTGATGTCAGAGTCATAAATGAGACAAACCTGCTTTACTTTCACTGTGGGGGAAAAATGAAGACATCCTCCCAATTATCATGAAAAGACAGATGGTGTGGCAGTGCAACCAGCTCATGAAATGGGGGGAAAAAAACATAATAATAATCACTTTACAATGAGGTTAGTACTCTGCCTTTAGCCCAGCCCTTAGGCAGCAGTGAGAAGGTTGCAGCAGCTGGGAAACTTGATGGTTTTAAGGTGACGTTATGGGTTCTATTGCCATCCATCAGAATACTGTGTTCACAGCTAGAAAACTCACAATTTTATGTTATTTATATTATTCACAAATTCAGTTCAGGTTTGACCATCTGAGAAATTTAATTTTAGATTCTCTAAAAGAAAAACAAATACATTTATAGCATCATTAGAAGCTAACAGCCTGTTGGAGTAGCTCACGGCGCTTATGAATCATTTATAAATATTTCTACTGAGTATCCAACATGTATCCTCTGTCAACAAAACAGAGCAACTCAAATATATCAGAATTAGAGTTTCTAAAAAAACATCCAACCCTTTTCCATCATGCTTTATCCCTGCTGGGGTCACGACGAGGGGTGCTGGTGCCTATCTCCAGCTATCTACGGGCAGGCGGTGGCGTACACCCTGCACAGGTCGCCAGTGCATCGCAGGGCAACAGCGAGACAAACAGGGCAAGCAATTAGTTATGCTGTTAGGCAATTAACCTAACAGCCATGTTTTTGGACTGTGGAAGGAAGCTGGAGTGCCCATAGAGAAGCCTCGCATGACAGTGTATTCTCATTATCAGTTCGTATGAAATCGTACGAAAAGTTATGCACAGTATTTCGTAGGTTTTTGACGTTTTTTTCGTCGTATAGACAAGATATCCTTGCGCATGCGCATCTTACGCACCATTCAATAACATACAATTAACAATTAACCCTAACCCTACATACAAAACAGCAAGCAACCTAGTGAGAGACATCATGAAGTAATTATTGCACTGTCGAAAGCTCGTCCGTCCCAGTTTTACGTCCGTCCGCTGATCTGCTTTTTTCGTCTGGCTGGCTGCGCATGCGCACTGATATGTTTTTTCGAGGAAAAACTTCAAAAACCCACGAAATACTGTGCATAACTTTTCGTACAGTTTCATACGAACTGATAATGAGAATATGTTGCGCATGAACAGGGAGAACATGCAACTCTATTATGCAGAAAGACCCCAGATCGGGAATGGAACCTGGAACCTTCTTGCTGCAAAGCAGCAGTGCTTCCCTCTGTGCCACTGAGCAAAAATTCCACAGATTATTTAGCTTAGAGCAGTGTTTTTTAATCCTGGTCCTCAAGGGACCTTGCTCTGCATGTTTTGGATGTTTCTGAGGTTCAGCACACCTGATTCAGATGATTGCAGTTCAGCAAAGCCTGATAATCTGCTATCAATTGATAACAGGTGTGTGAAAGCTGGGAAACATCTAAAACATGCTGGACTGGGTTGCCTTGAGGATCAGGATTGAAAAACACTGGCTTGAAGCACATAGTAAAGTATATTGGGCTCAAAACCAGGACTGATGCTAACCTTGCTTTAGCGTGCAAATTCACACCCCGACAGCGACTGTCCTTCGAGGGAGAGAATCCACTTAAAGTGAAATATCAAATAGGCTTATTGTTGTCTTGTAGATATTATTACAAAAACTGCAGTAAAGTAGCACCTTTTTTGTTTTATTTTTTGTGTACATGTTTTAACACGGGCTGCACAGTGGAACAGTTTGTAGAACTGCTGCCTTGCTGTTAGAATGTTTGCATGTTCTCCCTGTGCATTCCTGGGTTCTCTCTGGGTACTCTGGCTTCCTACCCCTGTCCAAAAACATGACTAATTGGCATTTCTAAATTGTCCTTAGGAGTTTGTGTGTGCATGGTTGTGAGTCTCTGTGCTGTCCTGTGATGGACTGGGGACCTCTCCAGGGCGAACCCCGCCTTTGACCATAAACTGCTGGAGATGAGGACCAGCCTCAATGTGACCCTGACGGGTGAAGTGGGAGAAAACGGATGGATGGATGTTTAAACATTGCTAAATCCCTGCTGCAGTTGTGTCAACCTGAGTTTATACACAAGCCAGAAAAGTCTCTTAACCATATTTATTATTTATTTATTCATTCATTTCATTGAATACAAAAAAAAAAAACAGCCTATCAAAGTTTTGATATACTAAAAAATAAAAAATACACCTCCATCCATACATACCTACAATTCCATCTGTATACATTACATACATATATACACACAGACATACTACATATGTATTTCAAAATTTTAAAACAAAATGAAATGAAAGGCAGCAGAAAAAAATCTTATAATATCTGCCCCTTTTTTCTCAGCTCTGAAACTAAACAGGGGAAAAAAATGGTTATCTTCTGCAACAAAAACAAAGTCAGTCGTCAGTCTCAACTAAACAACGATAGTATTTACAAGTAAAGTTTTGTATTCATCACTGTTACTTTTAAATCTACAGTTAAAACTAAGATTATTATTAACCCATCCAGATTTAGGTTTAAACCAGTGGTGCCCAAGTGAAATCCTATGCTTCGACTTTTAGATTAATGCTCCGCAAACACACCTGAATCAAACAGTTGAATTCCTCAAAGCCGTTTAATTCCTGACATACCTTGTAACTAACCATTCAATTCAAATCCCATTCATTTCATACTGCTGAATTACAACATATGTCAAGGTGCTTTACAGAGACAATTTAATTCAACCAATCAGATTGGTTACAAGGTTTCTATCTATTAAAAATATTGCACTGTGTCTACCCGGAGAAAACTAGAAACCTTTGCAGGTTTTTAGTCCTCCCAGATGAGCTTGTGTTGACAGTAGACATTAACCTGCATTGTGTCGTTGACTTTACAGAAATCCCTCACAAGCATGCATGTAGTGACGGCTAAAAAAACTCCCTTTTAACAAGAAGAAACCTCTAGAACAGGCTTAATCTGAGCTGCCATCTGCTATGGCTGACTGGGGATTCCACAGAAGCAGACTCACAAAACGAACATAGAGGCACTGATCCATAAATACTTTCCATATTAGCAAAAATAACGGGAAACTAGCTCCATAAGTGGCTCTGTCAAGAAAAGACGCAATTATGAAGATGAGGTTTGAGAAAGTTTTCACATCTAAAGGATGAAAGAGGTCACATACAATTAGTCACAGTCAAAGCGGAGCTGTGTTTTGGAGAGAAACAGGACTATGCACTGATAAACACATCCAGCGGCCCAGATGATATTTTCACTCGATGATGGTGTCACAGCCAAATAGGAAAATATCAGATAAAGCTACTATGAGGAGAAAAGGGAAAGAGTGAATAAAGTTTGGTGTTGATCTAAGAAATACTTCAGAATTTGAGAACCGTGATAGAATGAAGCAGAATAATGAAAAGTAGTCCCTATGTCCTCCAGCGGTCTAAGCCTTAAACAGCATAACTATAGAGAAAGCTCAGGATAACCTGAGCCACTCTAACTATAAGCTTTATAGCTAGCCTTAGACTTCTAGTTTTAAGTTGGTAGAGAAATCTGATAACTGAAAGATCTGCCTCTAGTTCTACTTTTAGAAATAAAAAACAAAACCATTAGTAAACCTGCAGGTTTAGAGTGAAGTGCTCTGTTAGAAAAATAAG